TCTTACCTGAAAAGGGACAAAAATAGATCAGAAAGATAGGATGGAAGTTCTATCTGAGCATTTTTGTTCTGTTTAGATTGAGGGTAAAAATGGGAAATCATATTGAGTCAGAAAGTAGGAAGATTTCAGTTATTGGTGTAGAAGACAAAGACAAGCTTTTATTTGCTTTTGACAAAAATAGCTGCTCTTAGAGCTTGTGAGATGAAAAAATTAGCAAATTGTATATAGCTCAGTTCAGAGGGAAAAGGAAAGAATTAAGCAGAAGATATGACAGTTTGTTCAACAGAAAAAAGGGCAATCAAGAAGATTTATGAAGGAGCTGAACTTCAGCCCTGCTATGTTTAAGTTGAGTTCAAAATGTCAACAGATACATTAGAAGTTTCTTGAACTGAAGATACGGCATGAGGAAGGAACCGTATGGCTTTGGTTTTTCATTTTAGGAGAGATGCAAAAGCAACACAGTTATGTAAAACACAAAGCAGAGAAAAGCAGCGAGTGAAAAACACAGTCTTAAGTAATCTCCAAAGTAAGACATGGTTATTCTGCAGAAATGACTGCAGAAGCAATTAATATGTAGCACCTGCAGTAGGAACTTACATACCTCTTTTAAGATTGACTAAACATACTGAGCAGAATCAGTGGGGACATGCCTCTTCCAGGTGAGCATAAAGAACAGTGAAACTATAGAGGGAATTCAAATTTTCTTCAAAGTATGTAGGCAAATATTGTCATTTCAATGAAGCAAAAAGCCCAGGCTGTTTGTTTTGTTAAAATCTTATTTTACATGCTTTTACCCTTAAATACCAGGTATTGTCCTTTGTAACAGCTTTACTACTAAAAGTAAGACCTTTAAACAAGTTAGGAATTATAAAATTAGGTTACTCATTGTAATGGAAAAAGGAATTACTTGTAGGACTGATAAACTCCACTCTAAAGGATGAAAAATAGCCTGATAAGCAGCTACTTGATATGCTTTTCTTTAAAATGGCAACTTAGCAGAGGAACTTAGTCCTGGGCTACAGCAGCAACATAACACTTCATGTGATTCTTGTTCAAACCTTTTTCTGTGAACTTGGAATTTCAACAGTCACTAGGTAGCTACTGATGCCTGCAGCTACAGCTAAGTCATATTTTCTTTCTTAAGAAATTTCCTTCTCCCTCCTACAGTTCTTGATCCTGGTCATATTTATGCGGCTTCACTTGTAGTATGCTCAAGAAGATGAGTTCTGTTGAGAGGGCCTGCTCCTGAAGCTGCTCAGGTTTCTGGAGGTGTAACTCTGCTCTTTGCACTAAAGAAGATTTGAACAAAATTTTTCATCCCCAACAACAGACCAAGATGTACAAAGGGAATTGGAAGCCTCAGGTGACAGCCTGATTCGAGGGTCTTGTACACCTACAGCCATGTGGATGTGCTGTTTGAAGGTCCAGGAGAGAGATTTCTCCCAAGCCTGCGAGACCATATGTAGTGCTGGCAGTCCCTGACTCCTGCAGCCCCCTGTGACAAAGAGAACCCCAACAGTGTGTTGTGTCACCGTCCTTTGGAACATCACATTGTGTGAATAAAGCTATTCTCTTTGGCTTCCTCTCTGCCTTCCACAGCATAACTACTCTAATTTAGTATCACGAAGAGCAGTATGTGATAATATTGGAGAGGTCAATACACACTTATATTATAAGCTATATATACTACATGTATAGTACATGCATGCATTCATCTATATGTGTATGCACAGACTACGAATTGCATATTAATGCTATGTACATGAAATTTCACCTGAATTTTTACTTTTTGGAAGCCTCTCTCTTGTTCCCCCAAGCATGCAGGTACCGAACAGCTTAAGAAGCACACATCATTATCATATATAGATACCCATGCAAATAAAATCCATACATTCATGTTAATGCAGCCAATGTATTTGCCTAATTAGCTGCATGTGTTAGTTCCTGTCTTTCCCTGGTGATGAATTCAATTTAAAAAGCTTTATCTTCAGCTCCAGTTTGACTGACACTGCTCAAGCAGTATTTTTTATATTGACAAAAATATTTTGTGTGTCTTTTCTCTATTATTTTTTGCCCCTGCCCAAGCACTTCTTTTACAAAAGAGCTGTCAAGCAATGGACAAAATGCACATGCAGAAATATTTCCACAATTTCCAACCTGAATTTTTGAAAAAAGTATATGGATTCATTATTTGAGAGATATGTTAACCACATAACATGATTGTATTTCAATCCTCTAGATTACACTGAATCACTAAAGCTCAGCTACATCTTAGCCTTTCATCTGCTGACCTCCAGAGACTGTCTCTTAACTGTGTACTGTTAGAAAAAAAATATATATTCCTGCTTTGACTATGGCATCCATATGTGCCTAGTGCTGAACACAGCAACCAAGTACTACACTGGGCAATGTTTATGTAATAACCACGTGTATGTATGTATTGACATATGATTTCAGTGCTCTCCTACTTTGTATTCCATATTAAAGAAACAAAGAGAGGAAGAGAACTATTTACTTCTTAATGTGTATTTTTAAATCAAATGTTTCGAAAAATTTTGGACCAAGATTTTTGTTTTGAGCAAGTTCAAATATTTGAAAGCTTGAAAAACACAAGAGCTTGTATTTCAGAAGTACTCAGTGTCAAAATACATTTAGATCCAAGATTTCTCTTCAGGCACTTTGATAACTACAGGATTTAAGATAATGTTTCAGTCATTAAAAAAAATATTATTTTATCTTAGCAAACTTAATAAAGTATCACTCACAGCAATGAAATACTGTTTATGCAAATGCTCATTAAGGACTGCAGAATGTTATCTAACACTTTCTTCAGTTAAGGTACTGTATGTATTGAATGAAAATTGAATTTCAAACACAAGCATTTCTAATTAAGTAGAAATTATTTCTGTGCGTTCCATTTACTACTGAAGACACTCACTGAGCCCTACAGTTTACTTGGTCAAAGCCAAATGAAATCCAAACTTCATGAGATTCCAAAACTTTTGATTGGGAAATATTTCTGATGAGGCAAAACATTTTTTGCCCCACTTTCCTTCACATTTAATTCTCATCAGTAGTTCTCTTACAGTCACGGTTATTGCAGTGATACGGAGTAGGATTAACTCCAGGTAGCTTTAAGTATTTCAGAGTTAAGCAAATACCCTAAACTAATCATCATGAGATTATTTCCCCACTGAGTGAAAAGAAGTGCCCACCTCCACAGATCCATTTCTCAGCAGCCCCCAATACCTCTTGAAGACAAAATGCCTTTCTCTACTGATTATGTAATAAACCCGGATTAGCCTCTTCACTTTAAGTGGCTAATATCAGGTTCCTAGGTGGAACCTACAATTAATATAATCAGTTCCCTCTATCTTGTAAGTGGTGTTATGAACAATAATAGTTATTCCTGTGGTTTAAAAATGTATTTGCTGGTTTTGCAGACAATAAAAAACCCAAATTTAAATTTGAAAATGCATTTTGCCAGCAATGAAAAAAATGATGTGAAAAGAGAATGGTTTGAGAAAAAATACACTTTTCAAATCTGTATGTTTTTCATGCAGCGCCTTAAGCTAGCACTGGTAATGTTTAGGAGTATCTTATTCAGACTTGTTCAAACTGGATAACACAATATGTCTACTAAGGAATCCTGCTGTAGCTAAAAACATTTGATACATTCCAAATTGTCTTTTTTCAGAGTATGTATAGCAGTATTTCTAACCATCTGAAAGGAGATTTTTTAAAAAACAGGGTAACAATAGTGTACAAATGTAATTCCTACCATTATTGGAAAAGACCCTTGGGATGACCAAGTCCAACCATCATCCTTACTCTACAAAGTTCTCCCCTAAACCATATCCACCAACACCACACCCAAAAGACCCTTAAACATATCCAGGGATGGTGACTCAACCACCTCCCTGGGCAGCCTATTCCAGTGTCTAACCACTCTTTCTGTGAAAAAATTTCTCCTAATGTCCAGTCTAAACCTACCCTGTTGCACCTTGAAGCCATTCCCTCTTGTTCTGTCGCTAATTACCTGTGAGAAGAGACCAGCACCAACCTCTCTACAATAGGGTCTTTTCCAACCTGAATAGTTCTATGATTCTATGATTATATTTCATTATGTAGTTAATGATGGACAAGGTATTTTACCAATGAAGATGAAAGATTCCTAGCTCTTGAATCCGTGAGTTAAATCAGAGTGTAAGGTAAATATACTAAAAAGATGATAAGACTATTTGACCCTCATGCTCATGGAAATTTATTAATCTAATATCTATTCAATTGGCAAATTGCTGTTTTGTGCTTCCTGGAATAGACACAAAACAATGAACTGCTCAAGCCCATTACATTATCATAGCTAACAGCAGCTTTCAGTCTGCTCATCCAGCCAGCCCTGAAGTTTAGCCTTTACAGATTCAAAAGCCACAGTCTATTAGTAGCAATTAATTGCTTCTATAGACACTTCCAAAATAGACGTATTGAACAGCATGAAGATAAGTGGAATTTCTCTGCCTCATTTGCTTTTCTTCTCTTTTAATTTACATTACATGTTTTTGTATTCAAGTCCTCTTACATGACGGATAATTGAAAATATCATCCCTACATGGGAGCAATTTCCACAGCTGGAAATGTTAACAAAAAGGAAATTTTAAGAAGCCCAGACTCTGTTAGATATTTGCAGTGTCTAGCAGACCTTTGGGAAATGTTGCCTGAGCTCAGTTTAAATGAGCAAATATTCAGGTTTTAGTGAAAAAGACATGACCACTTGTGCTTGGCTGTTTTAGCAGGTAGCTGGGCTTCAGAAAAAAAAAATAATAAAAAAATAAAAGCACCACAATTGTAAAGTACAATCTCTGATCCATCCCAATCATACAGAAATTACAGGTGTCAGTTCTCTCATGCTCTAGCTGTGAATAAAGTTTGCAGCTTAACAAAACCCCTCAAAACAACAATAGCATTTTCCTTGACAGCAGGTGATGTTTAAATATCCTTACCGTCCTGGCCTTCAGAGGAGTCAAACTGCATCTCGGGAGCAGCGTTTTCTGCATTAGTTGAAGCTGCTGGTGGCCTCTGAATAAGTTGATCCATGTCGCTCTCTGCTGGTTGCTGCTGATCAGACCCAGCAGAGCTGAGGACCAGGAGAGGTTTGCTCTTCTGTCCTGCTCCCTCCTTGTGGAAGCTGTGGTACTTTCGATTCTCCTCTCCAAAATGGGGACTAAAAGTCTCAAAGGGTCGGCCCTGCTTGTCAGCTGTTTTTTCCCAGGGCTTCAAACTTTTCTGAGGAAAAGTCCCACCTGCCTTGCCACTGTAATTGGGCCCATAATCAGGCAGAGGACCTTCACTCAGCAGGTTTTTCAATTCTTGCAAACTTCGTTTGGAAATGGCATTTGTCCTTGTGAAGGACTGTCCAGTACAATTTCCTTGTGGGGCCACAGCTCTGTGCAGGGAGCCCATCTGTGCCACAAGCAGCTCAACATCATCTTCTTCCATCTCCTCCTGTTCATCTTGCTCACTCTCTGCCTTCTCATGACCATTCTCCCTGCCCACTGCCTTTGTCCGCCCAGCTTTCCCTGCACTCCTCACAGGCCACACACCCATGGGAAGCTCCATTTTAGCTGCTGTATCTATGTGTTCATCTATTGTTCCTATTCTTTTCCCAGGGTCAGCATTTTCCTGGATATCTCGGGTTTCTCCAGACATATCTTCTTTCACATCACTGCTAATCTGAGGACTGTCACGAATCCCTCGGTCTTTTTGTCCTGGAGGAAGGCTAGTCAGGTTTTGAAGAGGCTGGTCTGATGGTGATTCTGAGCAACCAGTGGTTGCTTGAAGGGGGCAAGGATCTGGGATTTTTGAGGTGTGGGACAGCTCCATCTTCTTACTTTCTAAAGGAGAAACATGCTTTGTAGGACCTTTGGCTCCCTTTTTCTTTTTGAAACCACATACATTGTTGCCATCAACTTCATCATTGTCACTTTCAGGTGTGTTCTGTAACCAGTAATAAAATATACAACCAAATAACACACATGAATGAAACAGAACACAGCAATGGAGTACTATGAGCTGCACTTATCTTGTAGCACTTCCATTACTTCTTGCTGATGGAGGTCTCTGTAGACAGAGCTATTTTAATGTTTTTAAATCTCACATAATTATTTTACTAGTGTTTTACAACAAAATTGCTGAAAATGCCTTCATAATGTAGTTATTGCACAGATTTAGTTTAAAATGTAAGACATTGTACAACTCATGACATCGTTTGTCAAATATGTGAACTTTAAATGTGCAAAAAATTAAATTATTACATTTAAATATATTCTTGTTCAAATTAAAAACATTTGTATTTATAAAGGAAATAATTGTCCTGGAATGCAGAACACTGGTAATCCTTATGAGTAAGGTGAGTGAAACCTTAAAATAAGCAGCTTTTAAATGAATTTCAGTATCTAAAATGGCCAAATAACTGGACTTCCAGGCCAGTGGTCAAAAGGAAAAACCCAAATTTGGATATGTACACAGGAAACAACCAGAAGATGATGGTTACCTTTATATACAGCATTGATGTGATATATATTGTAGTGGTGGGAGAAGATTTTTAAATAGATGTAAACATGTGGGAAAAAAGTGTCAAAAGAAGGTACAAAAATTAAACTGCTTGTGTTATCCTAAAGAATATCAAGCATCTGGATCATCATCACTCCTAAGTATCCTGACCCTACGACAAGTATGATTAATGCAATAGTGACAGGGAAAAGGAGAGAAAATCAAACCTAGATACATTCAAATTAAAAAATAGCAGATATTTTAATATTTCGGTTGATTAATTATTTCAGAAGCTATCAAGGTAGGGATTGAATTCTCCATCTCACGATGTCTCAAAAAAGACTCCATAATATGGTTTAACCAAAATATAAATCACTCCATAACAAAGTACAGATTGTTATATTGCTTCTGAATACCAACTCAAGCATGTATTTAAGACTTGGTAGCTTAACCAATAGTCCCTGGCTTACCTGGGTTGAGCTGGATTTACACCTGAAAAAAACCTGGGAAATCATGACATATGCTCCAAATCGGACTGCTCTTTACCCTTTTCACAAAGGAAAATTCTTCACTCTCTCTAATTTCTGTATTTCCAAAAGAAGTAGGGGTCTGCACAAAAGCAAAGTGAATGCCACTTGGGATAAGGCAAAAGAGATTCCTGTTGCCTGGAAAAAAGCATGTAGAAGAAAAGGCGGCAGTATCTGATGTGCATATGGACAGAAAGAGCTACATGGTCCCCATTAAGGTCATTAACACTTCCTTTTCTCTATATTATTCATTCCTATTTTCCCCATTCTCTCATTACTCTGTTTTCCATTATTCTCTAGGCAAAAAAAAAGACTTCTGACTCCCTTCCTAATGCAGAGCTCACAAATATTTCCTTTCCTTCTCTCCCTTGCTCTGAATTTCTGCAACATGCTGCACATGCACCTGCTTTGGGAGATGGCCGGGGCATTGCTGATAGCATGGAAGGAACTCCCATGCACATGTCAACAGTAATGTGCTCCCTTGCAACCAAACACAGCTCATGGCTCATTCATAACAGATGTACTTGCTTACCTCAGCTTTAGCACTCAGTTTTTAATTAATCTATGTCTTCATAGAAAACTTTTCATTTATTCCTCTAATACACCCTATAAAACACTATAAAATAATTATGGGTGTATTGCTGGTTCTTCTGCATACTCAGCCATGCAGAATAGACCTAATTCCTATAGTTCTGCACCATTATGGAATATAAACATAATGAGAAACTTTCCTGAATAATGAAGGAGGCAAAAAGAACCTACAATGGAGAATTATAACACAGAATTTTACTGTCCATCCCCCCTAATAGTGAATGAAACTATTCACTACACATGGGGAAGAAACAGAAGTGCTAGAGGAAACAGTGCTTCCCAATTGGAAAAAAAAACGAGTAATCCTTTTGAATAGAGATGAGCAGGATAAGGACTGACCACTTGTAAATTTGTTAATGGAAACATTCTTTGGAATAGGACTTTAATAACTAATGTGGCTATAGTATTCTACAAAGCATTTATTTTCCATGCAGAAATTGAGAATATAGAACTGCATTTTGATAATTAAAAGAAAGATACGGGGCCAATTACTCTTAAACAAAAAAAGATTACCTTCAAATACAAAAAAAAAAAAAAAAAAAAAAAAAAAAAAAAAAAAAAAAAAAAAAAATCACCTATAAAGAGCAGTCTATGCATCACTTAAGGCCCTCAGCACAAGGCACGCTGACTTTGTGCCTGAGAATGACTCTTAATTTCTAAATAAACTTGGGCATTTATGGACTTTCATTTATAAATAATTCACAGTATTTTCTGCAGAGAATTAAATAGTGTTAGATTTGTTTCAAGGAATGAATACAGCATCCCTTTACATTAAACACAGTCATATGTATGAATTGTGACACAGCCTTACTGTCTATTAGTTCATGTGGTGTCTACCATCAGAAAAGGTCTACTGCTTGGACACAGAGGGGAGAGTATCCAGAAAATAAGGCGTAAGAATTATCTTTAACCTTTTATTTCTAGCAAGTTTTGTTTGAAGAAGACAGGGATGATTAAGTAAAATAGGCCTTCGAAAGGGCAAGTGAGCTGGATACAGAGCGTGACTTAATTTCGTGGAACTATGTGCCCTGCTGTGGAAGGAAGGAAAGCAAAACAGTCATGGCATTAATGTGACAAAAGTTCTGATTTTTTTTTTTAATTTATTTCATTGCTCAATGTTCCTACTTTTTCGTTGTGTGGCAACAGTAACAGGAGATACTAAAGCTTCTTGAAAGTTGTCTTAGTCAACATTTGTTTCAGCATCATTCAATTTTTACGTCCTTGATTTCAAATGCTTACTATCACCCTAAGTCAAGGTCTTGAAAGTTCCAAAATTTGCTTCTCTCTCTTAGCAAATGAATGCCTGAGTGGCAAGTTGAATATTCTTGCCAGAAAGATTAGATCAAAAAATATAATCATCGTGGGCCACATTATGCAACAAATCAGATGTTTAGATTTTCTTTCTAAAAGTTGTATCTGGTGTTAACCATCATTGATAGGTATTAGTGTTACCCCAAGTCCTGATTTCCATCGGGACTTCTTGCCCTGATGCTGCAACTCATGCATCTCTACATTGGGGGTTTGCACCTGGTTTTGTTCAGTAGAGGCAGATCAGTCCAAGTCCTACAACAGACAGGAAGAGTAGGGGTGGATCAGACTTCATTTACCCTTATGAATAATCTCAACTCGTGCAAATAACACTTTTGCTTGTCTTCACTAGATAACTACTGTGTCACTTCAGGTACACAAGAGTCTGGACGTCTGTGGCTATCAGCAGAGTGTAAGGGCTACACATGTGCATTACAGCAGCATATGAGGGCAACATGCAGGTAGGAAGAGAACAGAATAAAGGACAGTATCAGAAGGCAAATATTTCAGCATAGTGCTGATGAAATTGCCTGTTCTACTTAACCCAAGTACATGCCACTTCTGGCATGCCAACAGGCTTCTACCCCTGGTAGACATCTTAAATGTTGTGGTAACACAGAAAACATACATCTAAAGCAATTTTTCTTAATCAATTTGTGTTCACTTTTAGGCTTTGTACAAGCTCTGAAGTGCAATAACTGTATCACGAAATACAGCACTGCCAAAAGGCTGTTTATCTGTAAACCTGCCAATCAGCAAGCTGAGAACATTTTGGCAATGTAAAGTGTTGCCTTCTGGAGAAATAATGAGTGCTGAGCTTTCTGGTGCATGAAACACAGGTGAAAGTCCAAGGCAATTCTTGAACTTTTGCCTTAAAAGGATTTTATAGATGATAGAATATATATCTGCAATGTTCTATGACACAAATTCAGAACTGCAGAGGGGACCTGTTTTTTTCCTATTTTTTGTTTGCTTCATGACCTCAGGCAAGACTGGAAATGCTATCAGGGTTTATAAAACTCTCTCAAAAGATGTGTTGAGAAGAAAAGACAGGGAAATGAGAAAAAGAAACACACTATGGCATTTGAAAGGAAAAAAAGGGGAGGAAGGGAATCAGTTTAAAGGATGCTCTGTGTAACTGTAGATGATAGCAGCAGAAAGATTTATATCACCAAAAAAAAGGGTGAAAGAGGCAAGGTGCAATTCTAGCAGGAGCTTTTGCATATCTAAACAAAAAGATAGCACAATGTTGCTGCTGCTGGCTACCCAAAAAAGTGATACACTCACTCAGCAAAAGGTACTGGGGTCTCAGTCACAGTCTCGTTTTCTATTTTGTTTCAGATTACTAAACAATTTTAGCCATTATTTTAACTGACTGATAAGAGGTCAGATTATGATCTTCCTGAGTTCTTGCTAAAGATTTTTCAAGAGCAAAAGATTAATTTTGAAAAGAACGTCAAAGTGTCAAAATGTGGTATAACTAAGAATTAGAAAAACATAGAAAACAAACAAAAAAACCCCTCCTAAACAGAAAAGTCAAAAGTACCCACAGTTTAGTTGGATTAATTTTTTATTTATGAAAAGCTAAACAGCTTCTCTTAGATTTTTTTTTCTATTATATATTTTTTAAAATGTTGCAAAATTCTTATGAAATATTTCCAATCTAAAAATATTTTTTAAATTGTGCTACATGTGATATTATTCCCATTGTTACTTTCAAAAATAATACTGCTTCTCAGAGTACTTCAAGTGCTATGGAACCATAAACACTGAGGAACTTTCTCTGACCCACTTTGGCTGTTACCAGATAACCCTTTTTTACAGCACCCCTCCAGGTCAAGTTTAATTAATCTTTTTGTGTGATGACTCAAAAACAAGAAGTCAGGTCAAGAAGTCAGGTTTCAACTAGAGACCTGTTTAAGACCTTAGACAACAGTGCCCATAAGGCAGGTATGCCTGTGCCCAAGTGCTTTCGTTGCCCCTTCCCCTGACAAACGGAAAGCATTGCCCACCTGCTTTCCCAGTAACCAGGGAGCGAAGGAGCAGAGGACACAGGAAGAAATTATCTACTGCTGGGATTTAGTTCATCTTCACTTGTCTCTGAAGCTGCACAGACTTGTATCAGGAGGGAATGTGGCCCATAGAGTGGCAGGAAAGACATGACATACATTTCTAGGGAGTAGATCCAGGCAGAGAAAGGGGATTTGGCTCTTGCATGCTGTGCTAAAAGAATGCATGCTATGATGAAAAGGCACTGGTGGCTTGTAAGCTAAGAGACATGATGCATGTTGTCAAGATATTGCTGTGACTAATTTCTCCCTCAGTGACCTTGTGTGATGAAGTGGTTCTTTCAGAGTGATTTACAGCTACAGAAACCTCCTGGTGAAGGACTTGCAAGTGGCATAAATTTTAGGTACATGTGATTATTTTTCAGTTAGAGAAGCTGAAGCACAAACTAGCCACAGGTTGCTGGCAGATGTGTGGCAATGTTAGGAGCAGAAGCAAAGTCTTCTTCCTTTTTCAAAAATTTTTAATATACTCAAGATTATTATTCTTTAATGTGAAAATTAATGAGATGAGTTTAGCTCACAATACTGTATCATTTATTTTCACATCTGACATCTGCTTTATCTGCTACTTCCATCCAAAGCCTTCATGCTGTTTATGCAATTATCAGATGAGCTCCTCAAGGTCATTAATTCTCTGGTTGCCTCAAAGTATCAAAGTTGTCCTTGTGATAAGGTTATTTGCAAATACTTTCCCTTGGACTATGCCACCTGCACCATGTGGAAAAAAGATAAATCCCTACAACAGTCTCAACATGAAGAAGCTGATCCTGCCTTCACAGTGACTTGTGATCACAAAAATACACTTGTGGTATCATCTCTAATTTGCAGCAGCTTAAATGCGATCTAAAAGCCGAATCCATTTCACAGCTGACTAATCCTCAGGAAGATGTTTGCAATGGATTGAATTTAATGACCTACAGAACTCATGTCTAATTTCTATGACTCATTTCATACACAAAGATGGTCTAGGAGGCAGTCACTGACTCAGAGTAGGTGAACCTCTGGCATACAAAGTACCCATTTTTCCCCTTGATAAAAATGTCTAGTAGCCTCAATCTGCCTGCACCATCACTTCCAAGCCACATTACATCTTTCTCAATATTATTAATGAAACATTTTAATTTCACATTTTCACATGAAGATCTGGGCACTACTCAAAATAATAGGTACTTTTAAATTATTTTTAAATTTTCTTGTATTGAAAGTATATATTAGAACTTCAGGACCAGGATCTGTTTTAAAATGCACTAATCTAGAAACTGAGCCACTCCACTTAAGTCACTAGCCTGAGTCAAGAGTGTCTCTTGTCTTAATCAGCCTGTGGTCCACGAATTATAGAGTTTTCATTCACATTAATGAAGACAATCTGTTTTCCCACAAATCTTAATGGGATCATATTGAAAACTTCTGATACTTATAAATGAAAGATATACTAAGTTATCAAGTGGTAGATTTTCTTCCTAAAGAAAATAAGGGGCTTTTTGGCTAAAACAAGAAGCCTTTCTTTGACCTACATTTTCTTCAGAATTAGACCATTCCCAATACACATGCATGAAGAGCCTTGCACACAATCCAAACTCACTTGAAATCTTGAAGTGGATGCAAAAATTATTTTATATCAGTGTATCTGCTCTGAAATAATTCAGAGTCAGTCTCTTACCTGCTGAGTAAGATCTTCGTTTTTGTTCATGTCCTCTTCATTCTAGCTCAGGTCACCATTAGAAATGGCCTAGTAAAAGTCTAGCAGAAAGACATCCTGTATTTATAGGCACAGCTACAATAAAGGTTAGTTAAAACAGAATTGCTGTAAAGTTCTTTTCCCAGAAGACCATGCAGATGATGAACCATAAAGAGCAACCTCAACGTGTGATGGCCAAGAGCACCACTTTCTGGAACAGCGTTAAAGTAGTAAACTGACAAATGCACATTACTAGCTGCCTGCCTGCCTGGAAACAAAGACAACTGAGTATAAAACTGTTTTGCTCAACTTTTCTCCTCACAAAAGGCTTTTGTCCCATAACAAGCCATTTCTGTTCTGGAATAGAAGCTATTGTTAGGCTCCTTAGAGGTAAAACCTATATTGGGCATTATAACAACAGTATGTTATTGAGGCACATGGACAGGGATTTGAAAGGCACAGCACACTGCAAGAATAAAATGCAGTAGTAGCCTGTTATTCTAGGTGTTTGTATGTTGTTCATTAATATTGGTGGATCGGGCTGTGTTAGTACTGGAGGAGGGACTTTTTTGTATTAGATATCAAAAAATATTTAAAGATTATATAATCAAGCTTGTCTTTCTTATGCTTATTTATTTATCAGGTTTAACATAGGTTCAAAGGAATGTGTTTAACTGACATGTCATTCTTACAAGTTCATTTAGCTGACAAAACCTTAAAGGATGAGTGTATCAGGTGTGCTTACAGCAGCCCTTCCCAACAACTGGTTTCTCAGAGAACTCAAGTAAACATTGTGTTACGAATGACCCTTAATTACCTGATAAAAATAATTACCCTGGGTTAGGAGCTATAGTTCACAAAAATCTTAGGCATCTCTAGTCCCAAACTATATTTCTGAAAATCCTTCGTCATCTTGGAGGCACAAAAAGGCCATAGCTTCCAATTTTGTGACTCCATCTGCACCATTTCTGTAGCTGTTCTGAACTGCCCCACTTGTCACAGAGCAGAGCAGGCAAAAACTGAAACTTTATTAGCCTTCAAGAAATGCTAACTTAAAAGACTTGAAATTTTGTCAAGCAGACATTAAAAAAAACCCAAAAAAACCAACAAAAAACACTTAGCTCAGTCTATAGGACTGAGCTAGTGCAAGACAGAAAGGATGGAAGTCAGTATTTTGTTTGCAGAATACGTTTTCCCAGAATTTGCCCTCAGACGGTTCTCACAGAACAGTTAGCACAACTGCAGAGATCCCTATTTTAGCCAAAATTCTGGTGCCACAGACCTATATCTTACCCTGGCAAAGTTGCTTGCTTGTCTGTGTTGTGATTAACTGTGCCAAGAGGAGAACAATTATGAGCAGGACTACTTAGACCCAAATAGTCTGAGAAGCAGAGGCTGGCAAGAAACAGACCTTCTGGATCTCTATTTTTTCCATTTTGAATATTAGCCTGAACAACTTCAGCTCATATTTTGAAAAAGACACACTTCCGTTTAAATATCAGTTCAGTTTAAATTCATCAGAGAAAAAAAAATTCTTCACAACAAGGGTGGTCAAACACTGGCACAGGTTGCCCAGAGAGGCAGTGGGATCGCCATCCTTGGAGATACTCAGAATGTGACCATGTAAGGCCCTGAATAACCTGCCACAACTTCAAAGCTGTCCCTTATTTAAGTGGTGGATCACATCTGGTGACTACCACAGATGCTATCTAGTCTAAATTATTCTGTGATGGTACATCTGACTCATTTATACATATTTTTTATTAATTTGATGGTATTTTTAAAAATACAAAATATCTTCATCGTACTTCATATTCTGTTCTGCTAAACAGAACATAGAGATGAGAAAAAACACCTTTTGTCTTAAATAGTGTAGCTTTTGAGGCATCAATCGTGCAAACACCATTAGTAATGAATAATACTTTCCTTAGCATTGGAAGGATCAGCTATTTCTATCTCAAGTGCCTATTAGATCCTCCTAAAAACAATGTTATTTTGTTCTTTTTTCTGTACAGGATGAAACAAGAGAGGGTTCTGTAAGAGGCCTGTGAGAGGCTTCTGTTTTCAGTAGAACTGTGCTGATCAGAGAGGCTGAGAATCTGCACCAGAAACTGGTGGAAAGCCATTTCACATCTACCATAATACAGGAACTACTGCAAAGAGCATAGTTTTGTCAATAATACTCATTATCTTCCCACCTTTGGCAAATAAGATAAATCAAGCCAAGTCTACTGTATCTGCATGAAAAGTATTCAGGTTTTTATAAATAAACTGGCTTTTATCTGTGGATTCAGAAAGACATTTTCTGTCAGCAGGCTTTTGCAAAAAACTACTTTCACAAAGATGTGGGAGTCAGGGCTGAAAAAAAAATTCCAGCTTATACAGGTTACAAAACTCTATTTAACATCATTAAATAAAAATCCAGTAAATCCTGTTCCTCAAGGCTGAGTATCACATAGTCTTATAAATTTTGATAGATACATTTCTTTGTAGCATTACTAGAAGAGAGCCTCAGAAGAACAGCCTATAAGGGTTTGTTGTTTGGTTGTATTTTTTTTTGGAGGAGAAGCAGAGATGATCCCTTTTAGAATGTAGAACTGATTTCAAAATTTTGTGTAATTATTTAATTGAAATATGCTCAGCTTCAACCACAGTTTATCAAATACTAATCTAAAAACCTAGACACTTTGGAAATATGATACAGAAGAAACATCACAAAAGTGATGACTTAATAATTTAAGTACAGGTACTTTGTATGCACTGGCTTTGATGAATAAGTGGTAATGAGAAAGTGTGAACTGCTCATTATCCCATTAGTGGCTCTTCAGCAGATAAAAAAGGGATACAGCTTCTCTGAATACAGCTTGTGAGGCAAATAGCTGCCTATTCACCCAAGCTCTATGCTGGTGAGCTGCCAGCAACTTTCATACGCACCACTTCAACATAATTGTGGCGTAAAACTATTTCTGATTCCAGCTACCTATTTTAGTTTGGGTTTTTTTCCACTTATTTATATATATATATATTTATATTTATATATATATATATATAAATAAATGGCACTATATATATAAATAAGTGGAAAAAAACCCAAACTAAAATAGGTAGCTGGAATCAGAAATAGTTTTACGCCACAATTATGTTGAAGTGGTGCGTATGAAAGTTGCTGGCAGCTCACCAGCATAGAGCTTGGGTGAATAGGCAGCTATTTGCCTCACTAGCTGTATTCAGAGAAGCTGTATCCCTTTTTTATCTGCTGAAGAGCCACTAATGGGATAATGAGCAGTTCACACTTTCTCATTACCACTTATTCATCAAAGCCAGTGCATACAAAGTACCTGTACTTAAATTATTAAGTCATCACTTTTGTGATGTTTCTTCTGTATCATATTTCCAAAGTGTCTAGGTTTTTAGATTAGTATTTGATAAACTGTGGTTGAAGCTGAGCATATTTCAATTAAATAATTACACAAAATTTTGAAATCAGTTCTACATTCTAAAAGGGATCATCTCTGCTTCTCCTCCAGAAAAAAAAACAACCAAACAACAAACCCTTATAGGCTGTTCTTCTGAGGCTCTCTTCTAGTAATGCTACAAAGAAATGTATCTATCAAAATTTATAAGACTATGTGATACTCAGCCTTGAGGAACAGGATTTACTGGATTTTTATTTAATGATGTTAAATAGAGTTTTGTAACCTGTATAAGCTGGAATTTTTTTTTCAGCCCTGACTCCCACATCTTTGTGAAAGTAGTTTTTTGCAAAAGCCTGCTGACAGAAAATGTCTTTCTGAATCCACAGATAAAAGCCAGTTTATTTATAAAAACCTGAATACTTTTCATGCAGATACAGTAGACTTGGCTTGATTTATCTTATTTGCCAAAGGTGGGAAGATAATGAGTATTATTGACAAAACTATGCTCTTTGCAGTAGTTCCTGTATTATGGTAGATGTGAAATGGCTTTCCACCAGTTTCTGGTGCAGATTCTCAGCCTCTCTGATCAGCACAGTTCTACTGAAAACAGAAGCCTCTCACAGGCCTCTTACAGAACCCTCTCTTGTTTCATCCTGTACAGAAAAAAGAACAAAATAACATTGTTTTTAGGAGGATCTAATAGGCACTTGAGATAGAAATAGCTGATCCTTCCAATGCTAAGGAAAGTATTATTCATTACTAATGGTGTTTGCACGATTGATGCCTCAAAAGCTACACTATTTAAGACAAAAGGTGTTTTTTCTCATCTCTATGTTCTGTTTAGCAGAACAGAATATGAAGTACGATGAAGATATTTTGTATTTTTAAAAATACCATCAAATTAATAAAAAATATGTATAAATGAGTCAGATGTACCATCACAGAATAATTTAGACTAGATAGCATCTGTGGTAGTCACCAGATGTGATCCACCACTTAAATAAGGGACAGCTTTGAAGTTGTGGCAGGTTATTCAGGGCCTTACATGGTCACATTCTGAGTATCTCCAAGGATGGCGATCCCACTGCCTCTCTGGGCAACCTGTGCCAGTGTTTGACCACCCTTGTTGTGAAGAATTTTTTTTTCTCTGATGAATTTAAACTGAACTGATATTTAAACGGAAGTGTGTCTTTTTCAAAATATGAGCTGAAGTTGTTCAGGCTAATATTCAAAATGGAAAAAATAGAGATCCAGAAGGTCTGTTTCTTGCCAGCCTCTGCTTCTCAGACTATTTGGGTCTAAGTAGTCCTGCTCATAATTGTTCTCCTCTTGGCACAGTTAATCACAACACAGACAAGCAAGCAACTTTGCCAGGGTAAGATATAGGTCTGTGGCACCAGAATTTTGGCTAAAATAGGGATCTCTGCAGTTGTGCTAACTGTTCTGTATACCCACGTGTGGATCTCTCAGCAAATCCTGATAAGTTAATACACTCCAATAAGGAGATATAATAGGTCACGGATCGTGACAGATGCATTCCTGTGTGATGTACTCTAGGTGACTCTGCTCTGGCAGGGGGGGTTGGACTAGATGATC